CTGGGGGGTCATGACCCCGGACCCCCCTAGGAGGTTTGGATCCATGTCACCTTTTTCATCCCTGATGAGTTTGCACCCCTGAATATCCATCCATCCATTATCTATACCACTTGTCCCGTTTGGGGTCGTGGGGGGGCTGAAGACGATCCCAGCTGTCATTGAGCGGGAGGCGGGGTTACACTCTGGACTGTTCATCAGCCAATCACAGGGCTGACATATAGAGACAGACAACCAGCTACACTCACATTCACACCTACAGACAATTATAGAGTCACCAGTTAACCTAACGAGCATGTCTTTGGACTGTGGGAGGAAGCTGGAGAGAACCCACACATGAACGAGGAGAACATGCAGACTTTTTCTTTCAGTAGTTGTGACGTCTGCTGTAGATTCATCACCCGCCTTACATTAACCTTAAAGTCCTCTCACACAGTTCACTATGCTTTCCTGATAGCACAAAACAGTGTGCGTTGTTTTTATTTAGCCTTGCTGCGTCCCCACCTTTCAAAACCTCGGGGCGCCCCACTTTGGGAATCAGTTTTGTGCTGAGCGCTATGAGCGAGGGCCCTTTTTGTTTAGGAGCCGGTTAGTATGTTTGTTGTGAAATGTTTGTTTAGCTCTCTGCTTCTGCTAGTGGTTTAGTTTGAAAGCTTGGATTTAGTAAACTAGGTGGTGACCCACGAGCCGGGTTATGACATCACTCTTACTTAATAAAAAAACGATTGGTAGTTCCATCTGTAGGTATAAACCATAAACCTGTACCTGTGTTAAAGACATCCTCATACTCTTCAGCAGCAGCATTACTCCATCACAACCAAAGCAGATTAGCATGAAGAACCTGGGATTATTAAAGGAGGGCGGGTCAGTCGTCAGTGGCGTCACACAAGGGTTCAAAAATAGCCATCACCTGCTGACAGAGAGGCGGGTGGTCACAGCCCCTCTGTGGAGACTCCCTGGATGTTTACTAAACAGTCCTATATGTGTTACACCACAATAAAGACAACCTCATGGGTCATTTCATGTCGGGGTGATTGAGTCTGTAACTTCTTATAAATATGTCTGATGATTTACGCTGTCTCTGTTAGCTTCATATTCAGCAGCTGGGTTTTTATTTTTCACTATTTCTTTTCTTTTGCTGCCACAAGAAAAAAAAAAACTTGTTACTGCTACACCTCTGGACCATTACGGTGATATTTTCTTTGCATGCATCTTCTGAGTGCCTTAAATCTTTAGATACTGGAGCATAGAGGTTCTTCAGAAGTCTCAGGACCCTGACTCGTCCTTGCACTCTGTATGATCGAGTCGGCTTGCCTGCATTATCTGCTTGTAGACTTAATCTTATCAATAAGACAATAACCTGCCTCCCTCATTCTTGTGTGATTTTATTCATGTGTAAAGTGCTGGAAGCTTCAGTCTTCTCTCTGCGACCAAGTCACAGAACTTAAGTCTGGCTCGGACTTCAGGTTAATCGGGCCGATTCCTCATTCCCGACGATCAGGGGTGTGTTCCCACGACTTAGTCTTGCTATCTGTCCCCAAAGTATGTCTCCAAATGGGGTGAAAGGAGTTTCAAGTACGCTGCTGCTGAAGGTTTGAATCTCCTGCCGGAGGTTTTGTGTCAGGTTTTGGTCATGTAGATTGAAAGCATTGGAGGAAGATGCGTCAGGTTGTAGATGCTAATCTGCTCTGAGGAAATGTTGTTCTAACTTTTATGTGTGTAACTTTTTAAACATGCAAAAGCGTCACTTTCCCATCCTTGTGTCATAACTTTAGAGAGGAACCAACAAGTAGCCGGTCTCACTGTAAAAGTCCTCTCCTGTCTCACCAGTCTGGTGGCCACACCGGCCTCGCCACGTCCAAACTGCAACACGGACTCGGAGGAGGACACGATGGATGGAGGGATGCTCACCTTCAACCAGACGCACATGAGGAAGGCTTTCCAGCTCATGAACGACCTGAGGAGGTGAGCTGCCGGATATTAACGTTACCGCTGCACAGAACCAACAGGTCCATGATGACCCAGTTAAAGAGATGTATGCTTTTCACAAAGAATAGGAAGGCAGTGTGTGAGTGCAAAGGCGTGATGATTCTTTACAGAGCTGCTGCAGAACTGTAAAGAAGTGTGTGAGTGTGTGTGGGTGGGTTAAACGCTCTTACAGTGTGAGAAGACGTTAAAAGTTGTGATTTCTAAAAGTGTAATTCACCTCTCTGTTACCTCTCACACTTCAGTAAAAAGATGCTCTGTGACGTCCAGTTGGTGGCAGGGAGCGTTGAAGTGCCAGCTCACAGGGTGGTCCTGGCGTCCTGTAGCCCCTACTTTTGTGCCATGTTTACAGGTACACACACACACACACACACACACACACACACACACACACACACACACACACACACACACACACACACACACACACACACACACACACACACACACACACAGAGACGGTTGTTCACAGGGTCTTATACTGGACGTTTATTTACATCTAGGTGATATGAGTGAG